GCTGGCCTCGCTAAGTCATTGTACAGGCCCCATAGGCATACAGTACGCCATTGCGATTCTGAATGGAAGTCGAATGTTATAGGAAGCCCCAAGAGTGGGACTGATTGGCACCGGATTTTAAATATTTCTTCATTCATTGAGCCTTCCAGTGAAATTGTACTTCATTTATTGTCATCTACCATCCATATATGCAAATTGTAAACATAAACACATGTCAGTGAGGTACGGGTAATCTATGTTCAATATTTTTTTGTGACAACAACATAGCTAAAGGGGTGACACTTCGTATTTGAGAGCGAATTGTTGGATTGTATTTATAGTAGACAAACATTCGTATTGTAGATGAGAGGACAAACAAGTTTGTTCCTAAATCACCTGCTACCACATAGAATACGTTGAAGTAACCATCGTCATCCTGAAAAGTGGCTATTATACCGAGTTTAAGAACAAAATATATGCCCTATAATTTGCCCAACTGTTATCGACTTCGAAGTTTCTTGAAAGACCTGCCCTACTGATTCTTCTTCCCCTTGATTCCGCCGTATTTATTTATTTATTTAAGTCTTACGTCCATGTAGATGTGCCGGCCAAATCAGTACGCAAACGGGTGCGCTTCGTTGCGCGTGTCCGTCGAAACTAGGTCACGCCGCAGCTGTCGCACGCGGCGAGTCGGCCCGCGATATTTGACGGGCGTCGCAATTGTCACTGGGGCATACGCTTTGCGTTTGGTCCACGGCAGTCAGTTCAAGAAGAAGATAACACAGACAAATGCAAATCACTCGCTCCACCGACACTTGGTGATACTGTACTGTCATCTCGAGACCTCAGTGTGATACGCCGCGCGGGAAGTGGGCGGGGTGACCTACTTTCGACGGACACGCGCAACGGACGTTCTCCGTCTACCCGTGTTTTTCAAAGGAAACGGTAGGGGGCGGACATAATCATTACGGTATCGTCAAATGATTCGAGCTCTTCTTGTCTACAATACGGTAACATTTTGGTAAAACTTTGGTGAACAAGACATACCTGTATAAGGCTGGTGTTGAACATTTCAATACAGTATAGTATGAAGTTCACGCTATTGCAAGCCAAGTATGAAGAAATAATAACTATCGTAGTCTTTACTGCACAACGAAGTGCCTTACGCTCTCGTTGCTCCTCCTCATCTCCAAGAGTATTTGGTTTGGTCTGAAAACATCTAGAAATAGATGCGCTCTATTAGAAATCTTCTCGTTCTCATGGCCCGGTATGGCAAGCAAAGGCAAAATCCGGCTCTGCTTATACACCATCTAGAGGTATCCTACCACTACTAGCTCTGATGAATCGGAGAAAGCCTCTGAGTTACAAAAATGTCTCAGAAGTCCA